TCAGTTGTTCTGATAGGCCAATTTTTCGGTCATGACGTCACGAAGACGCTCAGGTAACGCTTCATTGGTTGAAAAAGAAGAGAGTGGGGAGTTGTCCCCCATTCGCCGAGGCGCACTTTAAGATTGGGTTAGGTCGGCCCGAGCCATTCTGTGATTGGTCCAGCACTCGACCGTCCGTGTGACGTCATTAGCGATTTCAGAGTGTTAAAAATCTTCAACTTTTAACAATTAATTATCAACTAATGAGCAATATTTCGAACATTTCAGTAGCGAATTGGTAAACCGGTATAAGTCGATATTGACAATTGGCCAGTTTTCAATAAATATCTCGGAATCTAAGGGAAATAGCGAAATTGTTGTAATTTCCTTTTTTGTAGCTCTCAATTTGCTCTACAAAAAAGATTATGACATCAATTTTGCTATTTCCCTCAGATTTTGAGATATTCATTGACAACTGGTCAATAGTCAAAATCGACTTATACCGGTTTACCACTTCAGTACTGATTTGTAAATGAAAAATGAATTATTCCGGTCCCAAACATGAGATTAGAAAATTGAAAAAAATTCATGCAATCTCCTTATTGACCCAAAACGTCCAGTTCCCCAAAAATTCTCAATTTTCAACCCCAAAATTCCTCGAAACATCAGCCAACCGTTCCACCAGTTTACAAATCCCCCTACGCCTCCATTCGATTCCTCAAGCAATACAGAATTGATATTTTTTCGCACGAAAAGAAGGTAAAAGTGAGCAGTCAACCTCGGGGCATTAAACTTTCACGATAACGACACGGCAAACGTTTTCGTACTCCGCCGCAGTTGGAGTGAAAAAAAAGTAAAAATTGGGTTGGGAAGGGGGGAAATGAGACGTGCGCGCGAACTGCTCTGGCGGGCAAACTTTACGCGTACAGTTTGCCAACGATAATTATCCGAGTTTCTACAAGTTTGTGGCGCACGGGAAGCGACTGTGTTTATGGGAGACGCGGCCAGCTACCCGGGGCTCAGTACAGCCAGTTGTCCAACTCCATAGTTATTGTTTTCCCTGTCTCTTTCTAGTTTTGTGCACAACGGTAGAAACATTTTAGGAAGTATGATATAACGAGCGATATCTTCCACTCCGTATGCCAGTGGTTTATTAAGAGGTTTACTTGGGTAGTTTATATTTTTCTTGTGATGTTGGTCTATAATTTCAGCGTAGAGCGTGCATTAAGTACCGTCATTTCACTATTTAAGCAGCTTCCCGAGACTTTTCAGATTTCCAAATGTTTCCAAGTAATTAAAAACGAATAATTTAGATCAAATTTTCGTTATTGACGCAATAAAATCATTAAAAAATGCATTTTACCCGTGAATTTTCACTCGTCAAGGGATTTGCGTCAAAACGTGTCACCTGACACGGGGATTTATATTTAAAGTGGGGGAGTGCCTCAAAACCGATGACGAAGTTGAATAAAATAAGAACCATGGAGAGACCAGAAAAAAGGAAACGAAGACGACACGAGGGGACGAGAAATAATGCCGACAGCAGTAGACTTCAAAGAACTTGACTCTTTCCCTCTCGCGCTCTGTCTACTTTATTACCCATGAAGATGGGGAAAGAGAGATGAACGAAGGGAATAACTGGAAAATGTCGCATGTGAAGTCTAACTGAGGGACTTGGAGACTACCTTCGAGGGAATACCTAGTCAAGTTTGTCAAAGGGTTACAGATTTTTCAACAGTTTGAAGCAAATTTGCTGTGAAAAATTAATAATATTTTTGGAGGATCAAGCACATTCTCTAAAGGTCGATATATCTATATATATATATATTTTTTTAATCGTGAAATTTTGATAGAATATTTGTATTTTAATTCAGTAGCGAAGTGGTAAAACGGTACAAGTCAATTTTGACTATTGACCAGTTTTCAGTGAATATCTCGGAATCTAAGGGAGACCGCAAAATTTTTGTTATAACCTTTTTTGTTGAGCCGATTGAGAGCTACAACAAATGTAATTACGAAAATGTCGCCATCTCCCTTAGATTCGGAAATATTCCTCAAAAACTCAACTCGGAGACTATTTTTCCACCAGGAAGTGAATTTTCAAACAAATTCACAAATTCTAAAATACATTGACCTTTATCATCACCTCCTAGGGGTCAATATGCTTCAGTTATAGGAAATCCCGATAAATTTTGAGATTCAAGACGCTATTTTCTCCTGTGAGTGCACCATATTAGCTATTTCTCCCAATTTCCTCAAGAAATTGGCGTTTGCTGTCGATCAGAAAGTGCAAAAACCCCTCAATGTTTCATCCAGTCAATCCTCCTGTGATGCATTTCCCCCAAAGGAGACGAAAAACTCGGCGAAGCCCCCGGAAAGTCTAGTTTTCCGCCCCTTCGCCACTTACGAGTGTTGGCATAACGCCAGATTTTATTTCCACCATGTTTCGGCTTCTAGGTCGCGCCAACTCGGGATACATTCGCTCCTTTACCCCATGGCAAAAGAAAGGGGAGCGGATTCAACAGATTTCAAGACAATTTGAACCAAAGAAGTCCAAAGAGAAAGAGGAAAGAGGCGAAAAAGAGCTAAGACAAAAGGACATTTTTTTTTTTTAATTGAATGAGTTTTAGGAGGTACAAAGAATTGCTTCTCTGACTCAACTTCACGTCGACTCCTCTCTTTTATCCACTTTTTACCAGAGTTTAGAGGGACGACGAGAAAAGGAAGAAATAGAGGAGCGAGACGAAGTCTTTTGTTTGTTGAGACCGGTTTGCAGTTCCTCGAACCATTTATTCCGGCTGGCGCTTTCGTGCTTCTTCTTTTCTCTTTCTTGGCCTACAAGCCCGTCTTCTCATCTTATACAAGTTCCACTCCCAACTCCTCCTCCCCGTCGTATTCCCCACTTTTTTTACAACTTTTTTTATTTCGCCTCATGATGGCTCGTTTGCCGTCTCGTGGCAAAAGTAAAGGAAGAAAGGTGGAAAAAGGAGAGAACGAGGGAAAATAGAAGACAAACTACGAGTTGGAATATAATGGCGAAACCGGATGGTCCGGTTCATGAATGAAACTCACGCGTGGCTTTCAAAACACAATGACATGGAGATTTCGATGATCGGTGACCTCAGTCGTGAAAAAATAAAGTTGAGAGAAAACTCTTGAATCAAAGCGAAGAACTCGAGGGGATATGAATTGAGTGTTAGATGAGAATTGAAATTTCATGGTCTGTTGAATTTAATTTGTGAGGAAAAATCATGAAAAATATTTTGCTGAAAATTCCATGAATTCTCGCAACTTTTCTGTGAATTTTTAATTGATTGAAAATTCAAGAATCTATGTAAATTATTTTTTCTGATTTCTAGTATTTGTCGTGGGATAATTGCATTAATATTTACAGTTTCCATTGATTGTTACACAAAATTTTGAATTGTTAATAGTGGGAGAAAAGAATCGATCATTTTTGAAACGTTGACTAATAATTTTCAAAAGACTGGAATCATATTTTACAGAAAAATTCTCCAAATAAAATTTTAATATATTGAAAATTCAAAAATGTAATTCCCTGAATTTTTGTGATTTTAGTTAATTTTCATTAAATAATTTTCCATAGAATTGTGAATTTTCAACGACGAAATTCCTTGAATTTCTGTGAAAAGACATAATTTATTTGCATTAAATGAATGGATTTATTCAAATAGCTTGTGATGACCATTTTATTTGAATTTAAACTCTATTTTTCTCTGTTTTTCCATTACCGCCAAATAAATAATTTTTTTTAAAAAGAGACTATTAAAGATATTAAATTCATTAAAATGTAACAATCCTTCACTTAAATCGAATGAATCCTTCATTTGATAATAATAAAATATTCAATTAAAATAACGACAGGAGTTATACGATCAGTTATACGAATGCACTCCAATAATGATTTTTTTCGGTGTAAAAAAACTAGGATAAAAATATTGACATTAATTACTCTCCTTTCATGTTCCGGTCGAATGGATTTTTAGAAAAAAACGTCGATCTATGAGGCGGAAGTGAACATACAAGGGGTGGGATGAAACGTATCGTGAATCACATGACGCCCTATCGGAAATCGAAGTGCGGATAAACCGCTATTGGGGAGACGATAACGATTAATAGCTGCCATTCAATGCATCCCGTACTATTTCCATCGCTCATCAATGTTTTTTTTTCAATATCTCGCATTACACGGGCAATTAACCCTCTTTTTCATTGTTAGTTCAGGCAAAAATAACCCACGTTTGGGTTGAAAATAGTTGACATGTGGTATCCACTGTCAATATATCTCATGAGGTAGCTCTGCAGTTATAAGAATTCAGAAGATACGATACGAGTCAGGAGTAAAGAAAAACATTATCATATTTTGCAATCAGAATTATTCTCCTTCGATCTTCGAAAAAGTTTAAAACCTCGCGGTAAACGGAGTTAATTCGATATTGACTGTTGGTCAGTTTTTGACGAATATCTCGGAATCTAAAAGAGATAGAAATTTTTTTGTCATGACCTTTTTCGTAACTCTCAATTGACCCTATAAAAAATGTCATCAGAGAAATTTTGCTATCTGTTTTAGATTCCGAGATATTCGTCAAAAACTGACCAAAAGTCAAAATCGACTCAACTCGGTTTACCACTTCGCTACTGAATTGTTAAAAAATTTGAACAAGTAGTTGAAAAAAACTGACATGTCGCTGGTAAGGGGAGGTGAGGCAAAATTGACATTTTAGACTTTTTTAAACATTCATAACTCAGGAATAAACTAATTAACTGAGAGGTCTGGACGTATTACAAAGCGAGACGAGTACACATCAAGGAAAAAGAAAAACTGTTCAATTTCACCAACATTTTTTTTAAACAACATTTAAAAAAAATCAAAGTGTTCATTTCGCCCCTGCGTCCATGGTATGTAAATAAAATTGATATTGTTATTCAAAAATAACAATTTTAAAATAAAAAATGCGAAATAGTTCTTGAGAATCTCAAAACGTCTGAATACCACTCACCTTTTTCAATTTGCGGAGGAACGAGTGCCTGAGCTCCTGGTAACGCGACGTTTCCCGGCCGTCCGCGAGGTCTCCTTCCGACTCGTGGCTGCAACAAACAACATTAATTAATTCCACCTATCCACCAGCCCCCGACGCAAACCCCCGGCAGTGTTAGAAAGTTACTCTTGAAATTTCAATTGAAAAAGCTGGAAATTTTTAACAACCACAAAGTTACATGAATGTTCTGTATAATTTCTGTATCTTCGTTGACGAATCAGTTAATTTCTTGAATATTCAAGTAATTCTCGATTTTCAGGTCCATACGTCTCTGAAAAACCTCGAAATTTTTGAAAATTCAGGCAATCACTTTTCTGAATTTTCAATCTATTGAAAATTGAACTGTATGTGATGCTCAATCAGGGATGGACATATCCATAAATTATAAAGCCCGCTAAATTATTCAGCAGCCAATTCGTTAACATCACTCTTAAATTTTAATTATTGAAAAAATCATCAATAAAATTAAATTAAATATTGAAATTCCGAATTCTTTATTAATCAATAATTCATCTAGGAAGATTGAAAATTATTTGGACAATCAAAAATCCCCTATAAAAAATTTTGTGTTAATTGCTTGATAGAAAAATTTACAGTTCCATATTATCAAATATTTAATTCATCATCAATTGGAAATTTAGATTATCAATCATTTTACCATTTCCAATTTCGGTTAGTATATTTCAGTAGCGAAGCGGTAAACCGGGTTAAGTCGATTTTGACTATTGGCCAGTTTTTGACGAATATCTGGGAATCTAAAAGAGATGGAAAAATTGTTGTCATGACCTTTTTGTAGAGCCAACTGAGGGTTATAAAAAAGGTGATGGGCAAAATTTTGCTATCTCTCTTACATTCCGAGATATTTCTCAAAAAATGCCCAAAAGTCAAAATCGACTTAACCCGGTTTACCGCTTCACTACTGATTTAAACCCTAATCAATGTACCTCGGAAATTCTTTTAATATCAGATAACCGGAAGATTAATATTCAATTTTCCCCACGAGTTTCGAAATTCAAGCTTTCACAAAAAAATAATTGTTTAACCCGAAACCCCAACAGTCTTGAATTTTCAAGACGAATGATAAACGAACTGACCGCATTCACTCAAAATTGAATTCACAATTGACTGAAGGTCCAAGAAATTTCCAACAGTGCCCTCAAAAACCAAAAAACATCCCTCGTATTTTTCACGTTCCACATTTTGTCAACTCCATTAATGCCACAATTTCCCCTCTCGCCGTGCGACATGACTCGCGGAATTCCGAAATGTTTCCACAAGTACTTCCCTATCCCCTGGCATTCGTCTCTGTCAGCCCATTTTTACTCTGCCCCCCCCCCCCCC